TACTTCTGATTTGATTTGAAACTGTCTCATTGCTGTTTATCAATAAAACTTTGAAAAAAAAAGAAAACACTATCATAGTTTCTCAAAAATAAATTTAAACATATAATTACAAAAAAAAGAAAATAGCAAAGAGACAGTTTCAAAACCGATTAGTAGGACAATCTCAATAATTAGTACATCGCATATTGTTGTCTTCATAGCGGTTATTCATAGTACAAGATGCAGACATGATATCCTGTCCAAACCCTATTAGTACAAATCTTTCTTCTCAATGAATTAAGAGAAAGTAGCTGTATATCTATCCTATTTTGTATATACAGATACAAAATCGCTTGTCTGTCTGTCTCTGTCTCTGTCGTTGTCTCTGTCTCTGTCTCTCTCGGTCAGATGAACAGAAGAGAACCTCTCCTCCCTCCCAAGTCTTCTTCGGACACTCACACGGGAGCCCTGCTTTGGGGACCAACCATCAAGTTCCTTTCACGATGCCAAATCACACTTTCCCTCTCCATGGTTAACTCCAGTTTCCGCTGGGGCCATGAAGCCAGCAGTAATAACAAACCTTATCCCTGTATACAATCCTTATCCCTATATATTTTGGAACTCCCAAACCAAAATTTCAGAACAGCTCCCCCTGGTAGCCCTTCCTCAGGCCCAAAACAAATGCCATGGATATGACTAGCCTTCTGCCAAACAGACCATGAGTTCCTCAAGAAGCTGGGGCACCCTCAATCTGGCCAGGGTGACACCTATGCAGAGACCTTGGCACAGTGGTAGTCCCAGCTACTTTTTTTTTTTTGGAGACAAGAGTCAGGCTATTTAGTTCGGGCTATCTATGAACTCACAGTGATTTGTCCACCTCAGTTTCCGGAGGATCGGGATTACAGCCGTGTGCCCCACACCTAGCTAGTGAACTATTACTGTTTTAATCCTCTAAATTGGGATGCAAACCGGTAAGTCTAATGCGTGGATGAAGCTCGTCCATCCTGTTCATTGCTCCGTCTTCAGATTCTAGTAACTGTACCTGGTGCGCGGCGGATACTCAATTAATATTTTTCCAGTACTTCATGCTTCAGCTAGAGCCAAGAATCTTAGCAAGGCATCTTTAAAGTTTGGAAGAAGTAATAAAGGGGAGGGATTCGGTTCACTCTGACGCACTGGGGCTTCCTTTCCGGAACTACTTTCTAAGTATCCTCACAGAGGAGAGGAAGGCCGGCAAACCCCAACACGGGACAAAAGGGCGCGGACTCACGAATCTGCACCACGCAGCTGGCTCCCGACTCCGGCCCCACGATGTGGCTCCCGACGCATTTGAACTTCTTGCCATCCCCAAGTTGGGACCGGTTCAGCATTTCCACCCCCAGCTTTGATGTCCCCAGAATCGCCCCTCCTGGCTCTTCTGTCCACAGGAAGTTAGGGTCAGGGTATCCCCCATCCCAGCGACAGGTGAGCTGCAGTGCCGAGGAGGATCCCGAAGACATCTCTGCCGAGCACTGCGGAGGCGACGGTGGGGGCGCTGCAAAACACCAGCAGGGAACAAGGGCTCAATGGCAGGCTCAGATCAGCAGATCAGACCAGGCTGGCACGAACCTTTAGAGGACTCAGGGCTGCGAGAGGCACCCAGGGCAGGAGTCTCCTGCACACAGCTCCTAGCATAGAGGAGATGTGTCAGGTGTCTTCTGCCGGATCTCTTAGGAAAGGCTCTCCTCTACCTCCCATTTCTCTCCTGCTGTGCATGGCTATTTAGCTGAAAATTGCAGATGTAGCTTCCCTACCACACTACCCACATTTCAGTGCCCAGGAGGCCCTCAGCCGCTGTGTTAGGCCACGCAGACGGCGCTGGTCCTAGAATCTGTGAGTGGCTGCCTCTGGCCGAGTGCAAATGAAGGCCATGGAGTTAGGAGATAGGGGGACATGCATCCCACCACCAAACACACCTAGTATCTTATGTACATTTCTTATGCACGTTTGTATACTTTGTTACACAAACAGAAATAAACTGGGCAGTACTCAGGAGACTGAGCCAGGAGTAGCACTGTGAGATGGAGGCCATCCTGAACTACACAGTGAGTTCAAGGCCAGCCTGAACTAAAGCAAGACCCTGTCTCAATAAAAATAAACAAGAAATAAATTTGCGCCTGGTGTGGTGGAGCATGCCCAGCTGGGTTATGTAGAAAGATCCTGTCTTTAAAAAAACTAAAAAGAAGGGCCGGTGAGATAGCTCAGTGGACTAAGGGCTTGCTTAGGCAAGCGCAGGGGCCACGGTTCAAATCCTGGCACCACATGCTGCATCAGCCCTGCCCCTGGGCACGCTGAGCCAGAGCAATAGTCTGGGCATGGTGGTATACGCCTGCAATCCCAGCACTAGGGAGGCAGAAAACAGGAGAATCACTACAAGTTCGAGGTATAGTAAAACACTGAACACACACACACACACACACACACACACACACAAAAGAAAGAAGCTTGTATTTTACATGAATGGGTGTATATGTAACATTAACAAGCAAAATTACTGGAAAAAATACCAAAAAGAAAACCATTGTTAGAATGATTATTGTCTTCTTTAAGCTCATCTGTCATTTCCTACCAGCACATGTCACTTTATGTGCTATAAATGTCACTTATGTTAAACAACACAGAGGCTCATAAAGGCTCTGAATAACATACAAATTAGACAAAGTGTCATTAACCTGCCCACTCACTCCTAGCTCCCATGTTCCCTTTCATTAGCACAGATTATGAGTGTACTCTGCACTTCTGCCGGGGTTTTGTAGCCAAGATATTTGCATACAGGAGTGTTTGCAATCAGAGTGCTTGGTTAGTGTTTCCCCACCCCCAAAATAAAAGTCCTGGACAGCCTCACCAGCTTTCTGAAAAACATGGCTATGGATGGGTGAATGGATAAATAAATGGCGGTGTGTCCACACCGTGGACGGTTACTCAGCCATGTAAAGAAAAGCAGCACTGAGGCCCGGGAGATGGCTCAGTAGAATAAGTGTTTCCCTGGCAAGAGCAAGGGCCTGAGTTCAATCCCTGGTTCCGCAAAAAAAAAAAAAAAAGTACTGACATCTGGAACAATGCAGCTTATAGGGACACTCCTGCAGCCCTCGAGCACACTATGCGAAATGAAAGAATCCAGATCCAGAAGGCCAGGTACTGTCACGATCCATTCACAGGAAGTACCCAGAACAGATCAGCCCGCAGAAGTGGAACACATGTCTGTTTGTCGGGGCCAAGGAAGAAGAGAAGGTGGGCATGGCTGCTCTGTCGCTGGGAGTTTCCACTGGAGATGACAACCAACGAAACTGTTTTGAAATTTGCTGTAAGTGGCATCTGGAATGTCCCCCAGAGAGGCCCTGTGAGTCTGGTGCATCGGGGTGCGATCAGGAGGCGGTAGGAACTAAGAGGTGGGGTCCTGCCCTTGAAGGAGGTTGGGGGAACCCCCCACCCCTTCCTCTTCCTGTACCTGTATGGTAGCCACCCTTGAAATGAACAGGCCTCCCTGACCATTCACTCCCTCCACCACGTCCTGTCCACCACAGGCCCAAAGCCCCGGTTAGCACGGCCATGAACTGAAAACCCCAAAGCCGTGAGTCTCAACTAACTACTAGGTAGAGGTGGCAGCTGCACAGTATGGTGGATGCACTAAATGCCAATAAATTGTATGTTCACTTTTTTTTTTTTTTTTTTTTTTTTTTTTTGCTATTGTTTTCCATGGTACTGGGAACCCAAGGCCTTTACCTTGTGCTACAGTCCCAGCCCTTTTTATTTATTATTTTGAAACAGTCTTGCTAAGTTTCTCAGGCTGGACTCGAACCTGCCATCCTCCTGCCTCAGGCTCCCAGAATCCTGGGCTTACAGGCACGTGCCACCACGCTCAGTTTCATCTCTATTTTTAAAAAATGAAAAAAGACCAGATGGGGCTCATTATTTGTTTCCCTCTATGGCTCACAGGGACTCTCCGGCTGCCTGGTTGGGCGCAAGCTTCCAGAGGGGGTGACTGGCTGTGTGACCCAGAGCTTAGCCTGTGTTCAATGCAGGCAGTGCCTCTGGGGGCACAAGAGGCGTGCACACACGTGCGCCACGGAGGGGGAGGGGCGGGGGCACGGGGAGGCAGGGAGCGCTTCTTACGCACAGTAGACCAGGAGCTCGGTGATCACCTTGCGCTGCCTCCCGCTCAGCGTGCTGGTGGCCAGGCAGGTGTAGTTCCCTTGAAGGTTTTGCGACATCAATAGCAGCGTGAAGCAGTTGACCGTCAAGTTGCTTCCGAAGGACTCGGGCCTGGAATGGCCTTGGAACCACCACTCGACCACAGGCGGGGGCTGTGCGCTGCTGCGGCAGCTGAAGTCGACCTGGGAGCCCTTGACCACGTAGAGGGTGCCATTGGCCAGTGTGCCGGCGGCTGAGATGTTGACCTCCACGTGGTCAGGGCCACCTGGAACGACAGGGGATGATGGGGCGGCGTGAGTTACTTGTGAATTCGCCTGAGCGCCTGACCAGTTCCAGTAGAAAGCGGATGGGTCAGGAAGCAGCCAGCAAGGAGGGCAGCAGCTCTCAGACACTACAAGTGCCACACAAAGGACTCTGACGCATCTCACTTGCACCCTAGTGTCCTATGAGATTAATCGGGCAGTTGCTCTTCATAAAATGAGAAAAGTAAAAACTCCTTCTTTTTAAAAACACCACAGGGCCGGTTAGATGTCTCAGTGGAACAAGCGCTTCCCTGGAAAGCGCAAGGGCCTGAGTTCAATCCCCAGTTCCGCAAAAAAAAAAAAAAAAAAAAAAAAAAAACAGAGCCAAGGTGGAGGAACACGCCACAACCCCACAACTTGGAGGCTGAGGCAGGAGGATCACAAGTTCAAGCCTACTTTGGATAATGTAGTGACTTAGTGAGACCTTATCTCCAAATGAGGTTTGTTTGTTTGTTTGTTTGTTTGTTTTAGGGAAGGGTCTACAGGGTGTCCAGAGTCTCAGTACTAGATCAGACTCACAGTGATCCACCTGTTTACAGCCTCCCAAGAGCTGGGACTACAAGCATGCGCCACCACGCCCAGTCTAAGGT